ACGTTTTAGCCAAAAATAATAAAAAGCTTTTTAGATGCTACATTATAGTAAACGAAACAACAGCGAACGCGACTCGACGAGAGTTATTAAAATATTAAAATTTACGAGATGTATTTTTAGTGCGACAAAACAGATATTTATTTTTGTTGCCAAATACAAGCGATTAATTTTTAGTCTGGCACAGCAAAATGTTGCATAATTTGTGTGTGTGTGTGTGTGTGTGTGTGTGTGTGATATCGCATGACAAACTAGTAATAAAAATTTAATAGGGATTACTAGAAATTATAATCAATAAGATTAATGGAAATTAATGAAAATATTATTACGACAAAATTGTTATGTTTTGAAAAATTACACATTTCCATCAGAAAGCAACATCTGTAATCGTTGAGATTAATGTCGATTGCACAACAGCGTAACAACCAATTGATGTACAAAGTTAGTAACTCTAAAAAATAAACTTTGCTCGCGTCGGCATTTTCGTAAATAATGATATTCTTTCGCGTTTAATAAATTACTCTCAGGTTTTATAGCTATTTAGAAACAAAATTACCATGACTATTATTACTGTCGCTTTTATTAATGTCAGCCAAGCAAATACCGGAGTAGACACAATTCTACAGACTTTGGCAACCTTTGAGATTCGCTTTCGAAGCGTTTAGCTGCCTCAATGTCGAAGCCAACTCGGTGCGAGATACTTGATGCTTGCATACCGATCGAGGACAAGTCGTGACGCGAATCACGAACCGTTTTAATGACCTTTGTGCATTCACTGCTTTGCGCTTTCACGGCACTGTGGAGAGCCCTTTGCTCAAATCAAAAATTGCAATAAAAGATCCAGTTTCACAATCATGCCTATTTGAACAAACGATTCGCGAGTCAATTGATATTGTCTTAAAATTTTCCCGCTCTTAAGAATTTTTAATATCTAATATCTCTTTTAAAAATAAAATAAATTTATTATATAAATCAACTTTATAAAAGTTGGATGAAAACTCAATTGACATAGGCCTCTTTTCTATTAAATTCTTGAATCGCATTTCTCTAACTTTCGATATGCGGAAATTCTAGTTATCAAGTTGAAAACGACGGCTTTCGATTCGACGACTACAAAATTTCGTTCAGAGTTCCGGTATATCCGATGGATCTCTTGCAATCGCATTGCGTCCTCCTCCTGCAGAAGAGTCGTCGTTTCCGCTCTACCGATCGCGACTTCCCCACTTTCACAGAATCGATCGATGTGACATGAGATTGGCCAATCCGCGATTAATGCGGTTCAGGTGCGAAGGATAATCTTTTCCTTTCAATTGCGATTTATCAATTCTTATTACTCTTAATCCTTGTGAGAGATTAGCTAACTTGAAATTAATAATGGAGATCTCTTGTTGCTTCATCTGTAATCTGTAAAGTCCTCGCGATATCGCGTGACAGCGAAAAAAGTCTTCAATAAATAAATCAAAAATAAATCAAAGTTAGAAAGAAGTTAAAAGGAAATCGAAAGAGCTATTTTTACTTATTTTGTTATTTATATTAAAATGTGTGTGCGATTTCTTTGCACAAGAGATATCAAAACTAGGATTAATAAGGAATATTTCATTATTCATGCATATCCGGTTTTGGTTAAATTATTACATCTGGCTTACCAAGATGCGCATAAATAATAAAAAATGCAAAGTATTTATCTTTTTATACAACTTAAAAATTCCAAGTTTTAGTCAGACATTTAAGCGATTACGTCAGGGACTATATCCATCTTAGCCTCGTTCCACTTGATTTTAATGTTAAGTGACATATCGCGGTTATTTCTGTAAATTTGGCATCGAAGCGAAAAACGACACGAAGACAAATAGGTGTGTGATAGCGCAGAACGCGACACGTGACATTGATATTCGGAACGCGGAACGTATACATCCAGAGAAGAAGGGATAATTTAATGAGCGTTGCAAAACGAATCATAAGAAGAACTTTTGACTATTCGTTTATGCATATGATATCCGTCGGATGTCAGACGTAAGCTCTCATGGCCGTAGGATACTTGTCATTAATATCCATGAGCATATCCGGATGCGCGTTTTCGGCATCGAGTTCGCAGAATGTAATTTACGAGTATCATGCAAGACACCGTCGATTGCACGAACAATCGATTGTGCAGTCCATATTTAGCGGTCCTCCTGTTATTTCTAGTACGCGCGCGCGTGTTGGGTATATGTGTGTGTGTGTGTGTGTGTGTGTCGCAACACAATTAATTCATTAACAACTCGCGATCGAAAAAAAAAATATATCTCGATACATTATATCCCGTATTTGGCGTAGTTGAAAAGCCTATCGTCAATCGTCGACGATATGCAACGTTAAAATCGCTATGAAATATTTCCATCTAAGTGGACTAGTAAAGCAATCACCATGCGAGGTGCAGCGAAGCACATAACACGCGCTATTATGGGCCGTACAAAGAGACGAGTCGTGGATCTAAATTGGTTTCGTCAATTCGTTTATGTGTACAAGTGTGTGGTGCACGTGCATCGACGATTCGCGAAACGAGCGCATATGGATGCTGCGATACGAGTAACTAGAACTACTCGTACTCGGGTAAATTTTATAATATCCTCCTCGTTGCCAACGAGATCCATTTAAATAAATTCACAAATAATGATATAGAAGCCTGAATAAGTTCCAAGTCTCAATTATTTCCGTTTATTATATCTAAACTTAATTCATCAGGAGTCCTTAATTTTTTCGCCAATTATTTGAAAGTTAAGGATATATTTTATCAGAAAAAGAAATCGATTAAGAAAACTGAAGTAATTGTGAAAAATCTATTACTGAAATCTATTACTGCATAATCAATTTTTGCTCTGTGCATGTCGATCGCAACTCTCTCGAAATATACGGTAACCGAATCTGTTCCGGAGGATCGCGACACTGGACACTAGTCTTGCGAGAATCACCAAGCGCGAAATTGAAGTCTCGTCGAGGCCCAGGACCCGGGGCTCGAGCCCCTCGGAGCCCGAGCCCCTCGGAGCCCCGCCTTAATTCGAGCCCCCGAGCTCGAGGCACGCAATCTTCGCCAATCTTCGTCGAACATCGAGTCGCGCTTCGAGTCGCGTATCCCGACGTGGCGAGGTATTCCGACGAGATATACGCGACGCTAGTCATTATTTCGCGGTTTTGTAACAGATCCGCGACCGACCATTATGCAATTTAATGACGACTCCCTTTAATTCTCCCCGATTCGCTGCGCGCGAAAACGCGAATTTCGCATGTGATTTAGCAGAACGACGCCAATCTAGAAACCGTTCAAGCTTCTCGCGAGTCATTTATGCAGAGAAAAATTAAATCATTCGAATATTCGCTCTTTAATATTTTGGCACGATAGACAGTTTGGCTAAATGACAATCTTTTAATTCTTTATAATTTAAGCCTGCTTTAAACTTTCTTATTTTCATCTGTATATGTTGTATTATATATATATATATAATATTAAGTTTAGATATAATCGGGAATAATTGAGACTTAGGAATTTATTCAGGCTTCTATCATTCTTTAGTACGTAATTTATTTAAATGTAATCTTGTTGGCAATATAAGAGATATATATATATATATATATATATATATAAATTCTTTTTCACAGCAACTGAAAAATTAAATTTAATGAAAATGAGATGTCCGAAAAGTAAAGCGCACGTGTATATATACAGATGAATGATATAATGCATAATGTAACTAATGCAGTTGACATGTGTCAACTTTACTTACCGAGCTACAAACTTTGAGTTTTCGAACGACCATTGTTTCTCGGCGAGCAGAATGATGGGTGAGTACATTTATATACATGAGGTACTTGCCGAAGAATTTTCTTTCATGCGATAAGATAAATCACGAAACACTTTTTGATGAAATTCTGTCCGCTCGAAACAAAGCATACATTCAACTCACATGTACTTGAAATAACTTCAAGCGATTTGAAGTTTGCTCAAGATGTGCATCATGTAACTTTTTGGAAAGACTGCGACGACATTTATCGAATGTTAAACAAGGATAAGACGATACATAGGTTACTCGGTGGTGTTTCCGAACGTACCCTATGTGCTTACAAAAGAAACCTCGTTATTTCAAAATATTAAATACTTATATATTTTATAAAATTTATATAATTATATATTATATATACTTATTTTTATACTGTCTTGTAGAATACACAAGGGAAAGAAAAATTTTACTTGTAAAATAATAATTATTTATTTGTATTCGTAAATACGTAATTTAATTTAGTTTCTTGTCGACAAAGTATCGACTGATCAATTAAAAGATCGATAACTTAGGAAGTCGCAGTTATTAAAACTCTCGCATATCAATTTTATAGTTTATTATTAATGTGATGTATTCTTTATAACAAATTATAAATTTAACAATGCATTATTATGTAAATATTTATCAACAATGAAAATACATATCAATAATCGGTAATATCCACAGTTGGACTGGATTTTCAGGTACTTTTAAAAAGTTCCTAGAACGTTTTTAAAAATTCACCTAGGAAAAATTTATCTAGGAAACTTATCTTTGATCGGTATTCCCGTCAATGGTATTACCTTTATTTGTTCATAGATATCGTTAAAGGACAATCTCTCGTCTTTATCGACAGAACCCAAAAATTCCGAATGTGATTCTGAAAGATCGTGTGTCGCGGATGTCGCCATACCGTTCGGGTTCGGGTTGAGGATCCGGATTACTTTGAATTTCTCAAAAGAATTTCGTTTTGGCAGCCGAGACAAAAAGGGGAGACGCGGCGGTTGACATATGATCGGATTACACTACGCCTCTATTACGGCCAATTAGATTCAAATAGAAAAAAAAAGATTACAGATTTGTACTTCGCGTATCAGATATATCTTTCGTAATTTTCGGACGTAACCTTCAAACGTGAAATTATCTTTGGTTAGGCGATACGGCTCCTTTATTACGGCTCTTTCACGATTAATAAAAATTCACGCGAGGATGCCAGCGCCAAATTCTATCAGCATAGCCGTGATATGCTCCAGTAATATGAACAGAAGTATGGAGGCGCACGCTTTCCTAAGGTACTCGGTCATATGGTCGATCCGTTTACGCGACGTTTAATCTGTTAAAACGGCGATTAACTTTGAATAATCGACAATTTTATTTACCGCGTTGTACGCAGCGATTTTCTCCCCCCCCCCCCCCCAGAAATTTTTAAATTTTTAAATTATATCTCATAAAATATTCCGTGGCGAGATATAAAGCGATTTGAAGTTTTATGAAAATCAAAAATTTCAAAGAATTGGAAAGATTATTATAAAGAATCACGTATACTTGATGAGTGACACGAGGCTTGTTGCAAATTATTGACAGAATATTATATAAGAATATAATTGTTTCAGCAAAAAGGGATTTAATGTGAAATCGTTTGGTACTGGGGATAAAGTCAAATTACCTGGTACTGCGCCAGATCGTCCCAACATCTATGACTTTGGAACTTCATACGATGAGATCTACAATGATTTGTTAATGAAAGACAAGCAATAGTATCCTTTTTATAAATATAAGTCTTAATATTTCATGTGTGCAATATTAAAAATATAAATCTGTTTATTGTTTTGTAATGTTTTTTTCATTAAGCTGCTAATTTAAATTATTACTAAATAAAAAAGTAGATTTGTTTATAATGGCTTTTATATTTTTTGCTATAGTGTTCCTTAACAATGAATGTGCAGTTATACACAGAATGGTTTACTACATATGTTAGATCGGAATCGTCGGATAAAACCTAGACCAGAAAGGTTTCAATTATCCAAGGATAAGTTCGATATTCTAATTACGTGCGAAGAACGCGTGTATGATCAAGTAATTGAATGCATGGAATCTAGGACTAAAGAAGATAATCAACCTGTTCATTTGATTAATATTGATATTCAGGATAATCATGAAGAGGCCACAGTAGGATCGTTTCTTATATGCGAACTAGTGACAGTGGTATCACAATTTTTTTTTTTTAATATTTGGAACACACATTCTTTTCTATATTTAGAAGATTTTACTTCGGATTTGATAATGTGCAAATGTTTGTGTTTCAGTTGGCCAATAGCGAAGACTTAGACAATGATATAGATGAACTACTTCATGAATTTGAATCTAAATTCGTAAGAACAATATTGCACACTGTGCTATTTTATTGAAAATCCGTCATCAACATGAAAATCATCAGGAATCCGGTGTTCATCAAATTCGAAACTATTTATAACAAATTGAATTGTGTATAATTTACTGCACGTACATATATTCATCCACTGAATCAAGTGGATTGAATTTTAACTTGAACGGAAAAATCGGTTTGTGCTTCCTACTTGACGATTATTTCCGCGGAATCTAATTCTGATACAGTCCACTGTTGAACTTGATAGTCGATTATGAAATTCACATCACATCACGATTAAATGGAAAATGTAGAATGATATCAATCTTTAGACATGAAACGAAGAAATATTGAGAATAAAGGAAGAATATATCTGTATATATAAATTCAGAAGGTATAAAATACATAAATCAATTATATATTTTAACATATATATGTATACATATACACGTGTACGATACATTTAAATATTGCAATATGTGTAGTGCGTGTGTGTGTGTGTGTGTGTGTATATATATATATAAAATTACATTTAAATGTGTTGCAGAAGAGAGAGAGTTGTGTTATATGCAACCATACAGCTACATAACGTAGCTGTTACAAAGCTAATAAATTCAGAAAATGCAAAACAATGATTTTTCACACGTTTTATATTCAATGTTGATCAAGATGAGCGTATATCCTTCGGGTCTTCTCACGTTTATTTTTATTAACATGTTTATTTTTTACTTTCCATGGTTTCTTGTCAGAATGACCGTCAATCGATTCTGTCAAACTAACCGTTGATCCCGCGTGCCTGAAAATTAATTGTACTAATCATATGAATTTTATATACAAACATGATACTCTAATGATAGTAAGTATATAGTGTATATATATTTCGATCGTATGAGGAGTTATCCTTAGGATTATTAGAATCCAACACTTTAATAGAACTTATATATGGTTATTATGTCGCAATATTATATGTATATAAGCGACTTTTCAAATAAAACCATTTTGACATTACATTGTAGAATGTTGTAGCACGGGTCCACGAATCTTTTTAACGTGTGCGTTCTGGAAGAACTTTTGATCCAAGTCTTTCGTCGTTATCCGATATCCTTTATTTACGCGAGCCAGTCGGGGTGGTACGTGCTTATTCTCAGATATATTACGACGTCGCGGTGGAAATGTGTGAAAGGTCTCTTGCTCGAAGGTCGGTGGTGCGACACAATACAACAATCTACCATTAACGAAATCTTTTAAAATATATCTTGCTGAGCGTGGATTGTCCGGTTGGCCGTTTTGTGTCATAAAACCTCTATTATCTACAAAAAGATATAATATCTCGGTTTATAAAAATATACATTATAATTACTATAAATATATGTAAGCACGAAAATATAACATTTATAAGTGAGATATAAATATAAAATTGGAACAGAATTTTTAGATCTTAATTTCAGCATTTTTGGGGAGAGGAAAGAGGAAGGAAGAGGGAAGATTTTTTTTTAATTTAAAATGATTACATACATCCATACGCGTTCAAAAGCTCCTCTGCGGTTGGTGCACAATCCGAGTCTTCTCCCTCAGGCGAAGGTAACATAAAACCATATAAATCCTCCAGAATGTGTCTAGGTATTAATGTAGCCAGCAATGTAATCGCTGGTACATGATCCCGCATTTGATCGATCGGCAATATACCATTCAAAATCATATCCGCTTTTGTACAAACGAAGCTTGGCATTACCAAACCCGGGCAATCGCATAACAGCAAATCCTTTTCCAGATAAAGCGTTTGAAAATGTTTGGTTTTGCCCGGTGTGGCAGATACGGAAACCTTTTTATCCATGAGCAAGGCATTGATGGTGGAACTTTTTCCGACGTTTGGATATCCGACTAAACCGATCGTCGTTACTCCGTCAGTGTACGTCTTATCATTATTATAAATTGTTTTAAATAATTCCACGAGATTGTCCCTGTTTAGTAATTTTGATGAATTAACTACTCTTCTTTCGTGTTTCGTTTCTGTTGCAGAGATTTTCAAATTTTCTATCATGCATTGAGTTTCTATTTTGTCAACGGTATCATCCTCCGCACTTTCATATTCCGATTCCGAGACAAATTCCGAATTCCATTCATCAGGACTACTTTCGTTCTCTTTATCATAATGATCAGTGTCGCTTTCATCTGTTGATTCTGCTTCATTTTTTTCATCTTTATCCTTTTCTTGTATCTTTTGTTTCTCTGCTAATGTAGCAGAGAAAAAAGCTACTTGTACGTTTATGTCTGTAAAATATTTCGCCCATGCCTCTCTTTGCTCGTCCGTTAAGAAATCTGCTTTATTAAGAAGAAGCATATTTAATTTATCAGGATTTACTTCTTTAACATAACGTTCCAAGTCCTCGCAACGAAAGAGTAATGGATTGCGCGCATCTACAATTTGTACAATTACATCACTGCGTTCTACCACTCTCCATAATTGTCGCCAAAATTCTAAATTCCTCTCGTAAGGCGTCAATATCAATCCCTCGGCCTCTTGCAACATGGCCAAATGACGTCTCCATTCCAAGAATGTCTCTTTCTCAAGTGCGTGTAATTCCTGGGCATTTATGGAATTGTCCCACTTGGGTCTTCTGGGTATTTTAACAAGACCTTTATTTTTTTCCTGTGATGCTAATATTTTCTCCTTTTCATTCTTTGAGAGCAAGCCACCACTATTGGGTTTCACAAATTTAATATTTAGTTTTTCTGCACTGAACTCTGTACCTGCGAGTTCAGCAGTTGACAGAAACTCTTGAAACGAGCTTTCCTCTGTAACTGATTGCAAATTGAGTCGACCCCAATCATAACCATCGTTGATCTCGGTAGTGTGAAGCTATTACAAAAAAAGGGGGAGAAAGCGAAAAATATAAAATGGAGAAGGAAAAAAAACTATTACAAAATATAGCTGTTAATGAGCCATTAAAAAATGTATCTTCTTCTTTCAGTCCTGTTGCTCATGTCTGAGCGTAGTAGATTATCTCTCTCATCAAGAAATATATCACAATGATCAAATATATAAGTGAAACAAAAGAATGCTTTCTCAAATTATACTTTTGATAAAATCCTTCCGAAATATTAATTTCTATACGTGCTATACTTGCCAAGAAAGACATGTGATACGCAAAAGAGGTTAAAAAATCGAGCATCTTACCATAGATGGTTCATTCCCGCTTTTCTTAATTTTTTTGATTCGATCTCCAAATCGATCTCTGATTAAGGACTTTCCCAAATTACCACCTCCTCCTTTGTTTTTCTTGCCCATGATTTCTATTAACGTTTATCTTTCGCAAAAACATGTGACTAATCTTGAGCAGTTCAATTAGAAGAGGTTATGTCTTGCAAAACATAACCTCACGACGATAAAGCGGACATAAAATTGATTGATTCTTTTACCGCTATACATAGAAAAATGAAGAAGCTCTCTCATTCCTAGAATTATTTTTAGAAAATGAAAGCAATTTATTGACAATTAATAAATAACGCAAAATATGTATATCGGTGAGAATAAACTTATGAATACATCGTGTTACAATTTATAACTAATATAGAATGTAATTCAGAGATCGAAACCGATTCATATTCCGATCAAGTTGACATGAAAGAAAATATTTATTTTTCTTCTCTGTCGGACAAGAAAATCACAAATCGAGTTATTCGTAATACGAAACATTGAACTCATTGAATTATTATCGGTTTCGATTTCTGATGTAATTCGTTTTCTTCAATTTCATCATGATTCGATATTCGCTGAATTATTACATTTGCATATCATACAAGATCGGAGAAAATCTAAATTCCGATCTAAATTCAATCAGGATAATTGTGACATCAGGATAACTTTCAACAATAAACTTAATAATAGTTACATAATTGTAAAAAAATTATATTAACTATATATATATATATATATATATATATATATATATATAT